AAACAAAGCAAAACAAAAACAAAATGTTTTAATCAGGGGAGAAATATAAAAGATAAAATAAAGAGACACAGAAAGCTGGCTACGATGATTAATCAGGAAGTCTTTTTTCTCCAATGTTCGGTATTAGCCTCATTTGTGTGTAAATAAATATTCCTAATTGTGAGCATAAAAGTTGAGATTTCAAATTAATTTTATTGTTTATCTTTACAAATTCCATGCGTTTTCTCTGGTTTTCAGTGAAACAAGAACATGTTATGCTAACAATGAGTTAATCAGAACTCGAAATGGAGTTTTCAAGATGCATATTTCGATAATAATGGTTCTGCTAATATATCAATGATTAATTATTGATTAATGATTAACAAATCAATGATTATTTTAACAGTAAAGGACGCCTAATGGGTGAACGTGGCGCAGGAGGTTGGGCTGCGGGTTTCTGGACAGGAGACCAATACATCCAAGTCGACCTTGGTTCAATGATGGCCATCACCATGGTAGCAACACAGGGAAGGAGAACTCACAACCAATGGGTAACTAAGTACTCACTGTCATACAGTCTAGACGGCAATCAATGGGAACACTACAAGGAGGGTTGTGTCAAGGTGAGGTAAACAACAACAACAACAACAACAACAATAACAACAACAAAATCAACAACAACAACAACAACAATAACAACAACAAAAGCAACAACAACAAAAGCAACAACAACAACAACAACAACAAAAATCAACAACAACACAGAAGCAAAAAAGACAACAGCAAAAATAACAAAACAAAACAAAAATGAACAATAATCAGAAATAATAATGATAAAATAGAAAATTAAAAAAAAGCCATTGGTCGGCGACTTTATTGACAATTACATTCCAAAGGCCTCATTCTTAGTTGTTTCATTTTTTTATATATATATTTTGTATATATCAGTGTAGTTCCATAGAAGCTATCGATATACCAACCTTAAATGTTCCACGTATAATTGTTATAATAGCGTTGTGAATGAACCATAATTAAGGTTCAAAACAAAATAAAACTCGAACCAATCCAAAGTGTAGAGGGAGTTTTATTTAATCTGAGAAAATTCGTTCTGTTATATGTCCTGTTATAATTGTAGATTTTCAATGGTAACCACGATCAAAAYACTGTTGTGACCAACGAGCTGAACCGAGTCGTCAATACCAGGCACATCAGGCTGAATGTGAAAAGGTTTCGACGGTGGCCCTCTTTAAGGATGGAGCTGTATGGATGCTAACCAATACGCATGAGCTACAGCTATTTAAGAAAACTCTGAGCTATCAAATCAGTGTATTTCCTTGCCGAAATGCATTGTAGGTTGCTTTTAAAGGCCCGTTTACACTGGGTATTTTTAGGTGTATTTTTGCGGAGAGCGCTTTTCAAAAATTTATTTACCAGATTACCAGCACACTTGTGTAAATTCTTTGATAAGAGTGTGGCAATACTCCAGTTTCGAGTTATTATTTCTGCAGCCTTTTTAACTTCGAAAGCATGTAATACATTCTTTTATTCATCAGCAGAGATCCTATTGTAATGCAAACACTCGTGTACAAAGAAGACAATACAATTTTATGCTTGACTCTAACCTTGCACAAAAGAGAATTCGAAACTATAAGAGGAAGCATACTGTGCTGACAGCATATCACCATGTCTGGCGTGACCGCTCAAATTTCAAAGAAAAGAATGATTTTGCTAATTTTTAGACTTAAATGTGGTAAAAAATCAAATTGCACTCGGTTTTTCGTAGTATTAATATCTTATTAACCGAGCGCGAGGGCCGTACGCGCTCTGGCCATAAGTCATTGGAAAAAAACGAGGTTCCATATCTTCCCGTACGGCTCGAGCAAGCGAGGTTAATAAGATATTTATTTTATAGCATTTTCAGGGAAAAATAGTAAAATTAATAGAGAATCGGACATAAAAATACGGTTTAGTTCGTACTTTCCTTGTCATTCAAAATAGAAGGAAAAACGAAAAGCCTCGGAAACCTTGATGGCAAAATTTGGATTCATTTTTGACTCTTTTTTATACAGTATAACTACAAAAAGAGAGAAAGCGAGCCTTTTTAAGATAAAAAACGTTTTTTCTCGTTTCATCTGGTCCGTACGNATTGAACCAAAAAAAAGAGCTCAAAGTGGACATTTTCGTATGTTTGTAAGCTCACCAAAAATTCGCTTTTTGATAAAAATGAAAAATTCTTTCACAGATACGTTTCCATTAACCTCAATTTTCATTTTAAAGATTAAAAAAAAAATCGTGAAGGTGCACTTTAACGGATTTGGGTATATATAATATCTAGATAACTTTTTTAATCCAAATTTTTTTTTAGTTTATTGCCATATTTGGACATCGCGTATGACGTCATCATGTAAATCAAAATGAAAATAGAATTGCTATTAAAACTTAACAACCACGGAACTATCTTCGTGCCAAGTTTCGTTACATTTGAATCATTGTACGAATTTCTGTACACGAAACGGGAGAAAACTAACACCCATTTCTTGCCATCGTGGCCAATGGTCTATAAGTCAAGGACTTTGAAAGTGCTCTACAGTTGGCCTCGGATTGGATAATTACGTCGTGGATTATTAATGGATTATTAATGAATTATTAATGATTTGTTGATTATAAGTCAGCAACTTATAATTGTTTTATTTAGTTGTTTAATATTTAATTAAGTACTAGAATAACTCTCTAGTTTAGTGAAAGGAATCTTAAGAATCTTCATAAGAGAAGAATAATTGCACTGAGATCAACATTACRCAGTGGAATGGCGGTATTTTGGGTTTTCCTTYTCTACCATCTTTTTCCAGCAAACGGTAAAGTTCTTGTTTTTAATAGGTGAAAATCATGTTTTTATTGCTAGACTTGACTTGTTCGTTAGTACGATGTAAGTAATGGTCTGAACAAAACTGCATGCTGAAAGGTTGTGAGTCATTTTGCCGTAAGTTCGAAATATTTTTATAACTTTCAAAATTTGTTTTAATTACTTTAAATTAAGCTAACGTCCTTAATATAAATGAATGATTTTACAACAAAACTGTGGTATACGACTCACAAATAAGGGTTTCAGATCATCAATGTGTTTGAATGAAGCACTAGTGTTTTTCTGTTTTCTTTGTTTTCTTTGACAAATGATATTCATATTCTAGAAAATTAAAGTTCTATTTTGAGGATTTTTACAGATATATTTTCATTTTATGCGCTCATTCTTTTAAATCAATTTTAATATTTTTTTCGTTTTTTTTGCTTTTTTGTTTTTTTTGTTTTTGAGATTGACCATGCCAGTCCTTCCCTACGCATGAATTATGGATTACATAAAAAATCAAAACAAAGTCAGGGTCTAATAATACGTCAACCAAACATAGAAAACTAATAGGAAACAGCACAATATCACAAACTGTTTGAATTCGCAGCTCGCAGTTTATATATACTCACATAAGACAATTGTTTCAGCATTGTAATGTATAGACAAAATCAATGTAAATCAGTTTCAATCAACTTCAAAACTTAACTGCTGCACGCAAACTTCATCATGAATATATCATTACTATCGTATTCAGAACATCAGAAGCGGGAGGGGAGAGGAGACTGGCTAATCAAAGAAAAAATGTTAAATTAATAGATTTAGGTCTTCTTAGGTCGTGTGCGTTCAAATCCATCCGGTCTATAAGTATTTCTATCACTACTTTTAACTTCCATAAACTGGTCTAACCGCACAGGTGAAGGTGGCTGTAGAGATCTCAAGTTTCTCAAATGCATCGAGAACAAAACCTTGACTGGTCACGTGATCAGTACGATAAAGATGGTAACACCTGCTATTCAACTGTGTCAGAATAAATGTTTCCTTGAACACAAATGTGTGTCGTACAACTTGGGTCCAGTACTTGGACAGACCAGGTGGTGTGAATTGAATGCCGCTGACCACTCGACTCGACCGAGTTTCTTAGTGGATAAAAAAGGCTATGAATATTGTCCAATTCAGGTGAGAAACCGCGATACTGGTAATATAAACATATATTGAGGCAAATTCTCTAAGAAAAAATGTTTAAAAGGCCAACGTGCATCTAAGCAGCCTTTTAACGTAACCGCAATCTTGGTGAATTTGAACGATTAGGTTTTCGTGCGATTTTAGTTTATCATATAATTATCTATGAAATACCTATATTTCTCCATTTCGTAAAATTGATATTTTCACTAGTGAAAATCTGAAGTTTCTGTATTTAGTGGAAGTAAGAAAAAAGGTATTTTACGACATAATTTGCTTCCATATGTAATTATGTGATAAACGGAATATTACATGGTCGCTTGGAGATACGAATTTTATCTTCTCATGTTGAAAATCTCTATTTATTATAATCTTTAGATGAAAATACTATTTGCAATAATGATCTGGTCCACCCACACTAATATTCATATATATCAAACTGAGCTTTAAGATTATGGGATATCATGTTTTGAGTTGTCCAGAATGAGTACTTTCTTAAAAATGTATCAGCGATGGTATTGCATGTAAGTCATTTTGATATATTAATATTAGCGTAGGTGGGTCAGAATCATTACATATAGCTGTATTATATATAATATAGAGGATATTACATGGTCGCGCGGAGATACGGATCTTATCTTCGAGTGTTGAAAAGATATCTGAGTCAAGAGTGAGCGTAGTCAATATGGATATGAATAATTACCTTCATTTTAGAAGTACAACAAATATCAAGGAATTAATTACCGTTTTAATTCAATCCCAGAATGCTTGTCTTTCCAGTCCATGTCTTTTTGAGAGAATTTGCATCCCAGATTTCTCGTGGAATACCTACAGCTGCAAAGGTTTGTACGAACAAAAGACAAAAGACTACACTAACCTCTATCAACTTCTATCAACAAACAGTTCAATATACCCAACTCCCTAGCATATGAAATGCACATTAACTTAGGCTACAAACTGAAATTTCAAGAGTTCAATTCTTATTTCAAAGTTTGATGTGATTTATTTTGGTGTTTGTTCAATAAACTTCGTCGATACAAAAAGTACAGGGCGGTCCCTGTTCCAAATCAACTTCCCTTCAACCAAAAAAACTACCACATATTTTGTAATCAGAGCTCGATTCAAGATACTACCTACTGGCGGTGGTATTGATCAAAAATATTTCTGACATAGCGTCATTCCACTATGACTATTCACTACTGAAATTTCACATCAAACTGAGTCAAAGACTATTAATAGAATCAATAATTACGCTAGTTAAACTTTCAGGCTGCAGGAGCCCATTGGGTATGGAAGATGGACGGATTCCTGACGAAAACATCACTGCGTCCTCGTTTTATCAAAGTCCTAAAGCCAAAGAAAAAACTAGACCAAGGTAAAAGAAACATTTGTTATGGGCAGATCGTCAAATATATTCGAGCGATGTCATTGGAAAAGTGGCTCTTTACCCTGCAGGTCACTGTTCTCGGTCGTGTTGTGTAGGATCCGTTTGCATTTAACAACATTAACACATTCATTTATTTTGGACAGCAATGGACGTCTGAATAAGAAGAAGACCGAGGATGATGCAGCAGGGTGGTCTGCGAGTTCAAAGAAAGAAGGCGAATACATTCAAGTCGATCTTGGAGCCATCAAGGTCATCACCATGGTAGCCACTCAAGGAAGAGGAGATTTTCCTCAATGGGTGACGACTTACTCACTGTCGTACAGCCTCGACAATAAAGATTGGAAAGACTACGATGAAGACAGTGTCAAGGTGAGATGGGATTCCTGTGGTTTAAGATAAGGCTATTGTTCGGTTTCCTTTGCCTTTAGATAAAACTGTTGACTGAGTTGCGGCTAATTGTTTTGTACAAATGGAGTCACTGTCATTGTGAGAGGCGTTCTACATAGCTGCTTTGAAGCTAGCAGTTGAAATTTAGTCGCAATGAAATTTCTTCGAGGCATCCTTGAGTCTTCTTTTGGACTGATAACTAGAAATTGAAACGTAACAGCGATCTCTATCGTATACTTTGGCACCCATTACTTTTTCCGAGACATAATCGGTTATAGCATTCTGCAAAGGTGCAAAAAATCGAGCATTATTCGTAAGGAAATTCCAAATCTTGCAACATAGAAGTGCTTTAATTTTCATTTTATAGTATTAGTTGTCAACAGACCTTCGAACCTTCTATATCAAATTGATCACATTCAAGCAACCTCAATAATTTGTAATACTTTTCTTGTTACACTTTTTTTAGCAACTTGTTTCTCGGAGTCTTTTCGACACACGTTATTGAAGAATTTCCGTGTTTTTTTTTCCTTGCGTGTACCTGTGTGTATGAAAAATACTTCTGTCTTATATTCAGCAACGCATTCAGAAACTTTTTCACAGACAATTGCAGTACAGCGTAAATAATAAACGAATGTAAAAGAATATCACTTTTACTTTTGTAGGTTTTTCCAGGTAACAGCGATCAACAAACCGTGGTGACTAATGTTCTTCAAGTACCCATAGAAACCAGGCACATCCGACTGATTGTGAAAGGGTATAGAGCGTGGCCCTCTTTAAGGATGGAGCTGTACGGATGTTAAATTCATGTACTGCTCGTAAATTTTATAACTATAGAGCTAGGAAGAAGGTTATTCCGGTAGAAATACCCTGGATTCGAACCCACGACCCTCGGAGTTGCACTACCGTGCTCTACCAGCTGGGCTACAAAGTCAGACTGGGAGCAGTTCGTGGTGAAAAAGATGTTAGGTTGCGGTAATTAGAATATAAAGATATGAATGTAAGGACCGCATGGCACTATGAAATACATGATATTTAAAAAAATGGAATACCTGACAATCAGCGACGAAGGAGCGATGTCGTCAGAAATGGATATAGTCTGCCAGCACGGCGAAAGAGGCTTGGGTATGAGCAAAGGCTCATGGGCAGTTATTATTTAATGGAATGTGCAACAAGTTTCTGTTCATTTAGGCTAGTCAGGCCAAAACCTCAGTTTCCTTTCTTTTATTTAACTGGTTTTAATTAAAACAGAAAAATAAGGGAGGTGATCGAATGTAATTTTGCTCAAGATATTGGTACGCATAGTTGGCGTTTCGGTATCATGTGACGCACTTTACCCTCGGAGAGTGCTATATAGTTGCTCTGCAAGTCTGCACGAGGTCGGGGAATACGTTTCTGGCGCGCGTTTCCACTGTTTTTGGCTACAACCCCAGGGTGGTTTTTACGTGGTTTTGCAGTTTTTCGTATCTGGTAGTTTTACATCAACTACCTAATAATAGGTCTGTAGGTATTTCTGTAATGGTGTATATAATGTATGATAGCTTGTAGTTTGTCATATCACTCCTGAGTGGCGAAGGAATCCTAATAAAAACACCTTATGAATGTTCTTGTTTAGTGTAGTTAGAATGGAAAGTTATAGTRCTAGGAAGGAGGTTWTTGGGGAGAAAGACCCTTGGAAATAAATGTGGAAAAATTAGTTTGCCATCTCGCTGGCTCAAATCCAAGCGAGATCGGAAATTAATTTTTCCGAATTTATTTTCAATATCATGTACCTCATTTGCTATGCGGGCTTTTATAATTTTATTTATAATTTTTAAACTATACTAATTAGGTGCACTTTATATCTTCATTTACATTCTCCTTCCATCGTTTAGCTTTAAATTAAGTGTCCTATGTTGCTAGATCCCGAAGCAATACCTCTAACCAAATTACAATGAGAGTTTCACGGAGTTGAAAAGGTTTTTTGCCAACTTCTCGTCGAGATGGACATACTCGAGGCTAGAGCAATATATTAGCTGAGCTTTATTTTGCTTTTTCAATCCTCCAATTTTCAATCTTGACCAAACTAACAAAAAACAACAACTACAACAAAAACAACAACAAAACAAACAAACAAACAAACAAACAAAAACAAAAAAACAAAAAAAAGATTGCATTAGAACAAACTTTGAATGAAAAAAGTTTTATTGACTTGTAGCTGTACAGTAAATCCTAGAGAAATTACATTCAGTGAGTTTAAGTATGTATTCAGATTTGTTAGTGAACATACCATTAAAAGTGATTATATGCAAGCTCTATAGTTAAGTGACTGGATCAGCGTTTTCGTCTATTGTGCACAGCCATGACGTTATCCCAGTCTTCTGCAGGGGTACAGCTAGTACAGTGATCTTCACAGCAACAGTTAATGCTCTTCCTAAAGTTAGCATGACTGCCTCTATAYTTTCCTTTATTTTTGGACCTTTTCTTAATGTTTGYTGTRTTGGCAATCTCGTTTGTCTCAGGAGGAGAGTCTCTTTCATCGTTTTTCTGTATAAGATTTTCATGTGTTTTTGTAGCGACTTCCAGTGGTTTAGKTTTAGAAGGTAGTGGCTTATCCATAGCAATTGCAATAGCTATCTCAACATCCTCAGGCTTAACTGCTTCGTATCCTTGTGTTTTGAACTGGGAAGAAGTTGACAATAGGCATTTAGTTGGAATGTAATCCATTTTGTTACAGTCTTCGTTCTCTTGATACACTAATCGTCTCCTAGACTTTGGAGTGCCTCGGTCTGAAGTCGAGGTCTTTAGCTGTGTGTCCTTATTACTACTGTCRGCACTTGTCTCACAGATTCTGCGCGTAAAGCTCTGAGAAGCAAGAGGGCACTTCTCAGCATCATTGGTTGTTTCTTTGCTTTGGGTTTTTCCGTTGTCTTGCTTTCCAGTCTTGACATCTTTTGGAGCACCTTTARAGCTGTCTTTTGGAACACAATCTTTAGAAATTTGTGTCGCACATTTGCTTTCACGTCGTGCTTCATTTGCACTCAGCTTGCTTGGTGCAGTATTTTGTTGATCTGTCTCCAATCCATTGAGTGCTCTATTAGTAGGAGAAGATTTGATTTGTCTTGGAGAACAGTTTGCTGACTTTGGTCCCTGCCAAATGGTTGGTGGTACAACACGTGCAGGTTGCTTCTGYCCTTCCTTATTAAAAGCCGGGTTACGGCTTTGCTCTGTTGGCACTGGTCTTGAATTTGGAGCCGTTGGAAGTGTTCTTGTATTGGAAATAGCTGTGGTATGGGAAGTATTTTTAGCCTGCGTTAAAGGTATTATGCTCTTTGAAGAGACTGCAGTAGGACAATGCGCCGTTGGTCCTGGATGCTGCACTGATTTGCCTTGCATAGGCTGAGTAATTGACTTTTGAGGAACATTTAATGATTTTGCTTGTTGCGATATGATTTTGCTGGAATTTTGCTCCTTAACTTGTTGCTGTGTTACTTTTCCTTGGATAGGCTGGCCATTTGACTGTTGTGCAGTATTTCCTGGTTTTGGCTGGGAAGCAGATTTTTGAGACATTGGTCGCTGCGGTATGAYTTTTTTGGCATATTGCTGGGTGGCTTGATGGGATGTTGCTCTTACTTGAGTTGGGGTGTTTGACTTCGGTGGATTTCCTGATTTGGGCTGGTCAGCAGCTTTCTGAGGCAATGTTTGTTGTGGTATGATTTTGTTGGCATTTTGCTGAGTGGTTTGATACTGCACTGATCTTCCTTGGATAGGTTGAACATTTGACTTTTGTGCAGAATCTACTGATTTTGGCTGAGCTTTATAAGACATCGGYTGTTGTGATGTTATTGTTCTGGCATTTTGCTGAATGGCCTGATGMTGTGTTGCTCTTCCTTGAGTTGGAGTGTTTGATTTTGGTGGATTTCCTGGTTTTGACTGGGCAGCAGGTACATGAGACATTGCTTGTTGTTGTGTAGGTTTGCTGGCATTTATGTTTTGATCGATTACGGAATTTGAGGATGCTGCAGTTTTAGCATGGTTTGCACTGTAAGGGTGAGCACTATTTGACGTCTGTGAGCGTTGTATTGCCTGTGGAGTACATCTTGGTTGCGTTGTAGAGATCCTCTGAGTGAAAGTTTGGTTTGCGTTCCACTAGATAGTGAACAAAGTAAAGCTTTTAGAACAAAAGCATTCTGAAACTTTCGAGCTGTGGATGTAAACGCTTACAAGTATCTATACTCCCTCAGTAACAAATAATTCCTCCGCTCTCATTGGTCGAGCTATTCGATCATATGCTTCGATCATATGTTCATCATAATGTTTTTCCACGATTTATAGGACTGAGGTTCAGCTAAGTGTCACGTGTCCCGTCAAAATTCAAAGACAATGACGAGAAATTACACATCAACCAATCCCGGCGCTAATTATGTGCTAACATGCATAATAGGTTCAACATTGCAGTCTAAAATAATCACCGGCCTTATGAATTAACTATCAATACTAAGATTTTCATGACACCGTCTCAGTGCATGATGGTGCTTACTTGTGCAACAGGCGCTTGCTTGACAACACTTTTTACTGCAGATAAAGTCGCTGGTTGAGATAAAGGTTTCGACTGAGAAACAGGTGCAGATTTTGGAACTGGCAATCGTGATGGCATAGCCTTCTTCTCCATCGAGGCGGTCGAAATCGTAGTACTACTTGAAGATGCTGTTCTTTGCTGGCTCAAAACATTTGTTTGAACTTTTTGTGAGGCCCCAGGTGCCTGCCTCACTAAAACAAAAGACATTTTGAGGCTGTTAGGAACATGTCCAGTTGCATSAAACGTTTTTACCTCGAGTACAAAATCATTTGACTTATCGTTTACATATAGTATAAAGTAATCGACGATGATGCAGATCGTCATTTTTACCTTGGTCCAAGCCCTACCGACTATCATTTCTTTATCAAATTTAGCCATAATGGCTTCTGCAAAACAAGCTACATTACGAAATTCATTCACATGTGATGATAAAGGCAGCTTACCTGCTTGACCGGGAGAAGTTACATTTGCCGTTGTGACTCCTTGTTTACCACTTCGTGTTGTGATATTTCCAGTAGTCGACTTTGCCGAGAAACTTTGAGCATTTGCTTTCGACGTATCTTGATAATGAATACTTGGGGATGGACCGTTCTTACAATCACTTGCAGCATTTGCTGATGGATTGACTATTAATCCTCTGGATTTCTCCTCCGGTATGCGATAGTGAGTTGGTCGTTTAGGAACAGCACCAGGATTGGGGTAAGACGGAGGAATAGGATGAGGAAAGGAGTAGACGTTCGTTTTGTTGCTTTCTGTTGCTTTTTGTGCCTGCACACACCTCTGTAATATGAAATTAAAGGAAACAACATAACAGTCGTAAAAATAGTGGCAACTTTATCAAATCTAAACCGACAGCATTCTCGTGTTTTGACCCTTCTAAGTTCTCAAMGCATTCTCATGTTTTGACCCTTCTAAGTTCTAAACAGAAAATTGAAAGCTATGCCTGAAGGCGATACCGCTGGAAGACCCACAATTTGGATACGACGAAAGTATCCCGTGATGATTTAAAATAAAACGAAGATTGTGGAGGCCAAAAATTGTGGGAAGGTATTTTTGGAGAATTGTGCGCCTGAAAATGTCAAAATGTAAATGTTTTTATTAACCACACAATTAATGGCTTATCTYTCTTGGACTATGTGAGCCTTCTATTTTCGTTTGGTAAACTATGAGTTTATAATCATCGAATTTATTGCTAAAAGGTTAATCACAACATCAATCATTATAATAATCACCTGATCATCTCCGGGAACTGAAACAGAAACCGCACATGATGGTTTTTCCGCTTTGTCTCGACTAGTTTCCCTCTGCTCTTCCCTGTTGCAATGAAACGCCTTCATGGCCTCTCGGTTCGGATATCTTGGCCGAACATCAATACTATTTTGTTCAAAAATCTCTGACTTTTCCTTGTTCTTACTGGAGTTCATTTTGGCCCCCTCATTCCCTGTTTCCATACTTATCGCTGTTGAGACTGAACTAGCAGATGGACCGGCTTCAATGTCCTTTGTTGGTGACTTCTTTCCAAAGAAGAAGTTTCCAACTTTTTTCTTCAAACTGGAGAAGAATTTCCTTGGAGCAACGAGAGCTTGGTACGTCGAGAGTTCCTCGCTTCCACTACTAGATCGAGATGATACACGCAATTCTGATGCATCGTCTTTACCTATTTCAACTTCAAATGATTTCTGGCTTGAAGGAGAGCCACGTGGAGAGTTGCAGTCTTTGTTTCGTTTCTTTTGGTTTCCTTCGACAGTACTGTTTGCCACTGAAGGTGTAACGCACAAATGAACGTTTGGAACCTGAACTGGATGACCTTTTCCTGCATGTGAGCTTMCAATGGCAGCAGCTGCAGAATGCCGAGKAGCACATGAACCTTGCAAAGTACGATTATCACTTCTATTTTTTTCAACTGAAGCTGGTGTAGATGAAAGGTTCTGCTGCAGGACGCTTGAGCTTGAGGAAATGCAGCCACTACTTGTACGCGAGCTTTGGTTTACGGAATTATTACAACATGCTTTTTCAGTTGAAGGATTTATAGTTGGAAGATTATAATGGACATTTGGAAAATTTGTCAAAGTGAAGTCGCTATTTGGTTGCACTGCTTTGTTATGAACATTTTCAGACAACTGACGATCATAATTAGAGTTAATTGTCTTGTCAACTGTAATTGGCAAYGTCGTCTGCGAGCGCATGGTGGTTGGARCGGTGTCCTTCMTTGGTTGTGGATTTTTGATTTGAGTCGGCGMAGCCGGCTGTCGAACCATAATTGTATCATTCTTAGTTGATTTTCCTGGCCAACATTCAGGCTGCGGACTATAAGAAGGCGTTGTGATCGTATTTGATTGATTTATTCCTGGTGCCTGTTTTATTTCAGCAGCAGTAGGAAGTCCAGTGTGAACACATTTGTTTTCTGTTAAAAAAATACATGTATGAATCAATAGTCTCCTTCATGGTTCTCTGCCCATCAAAATCCATCAAAACCAGACATGTTCGACTGAAGGTAAAGGGGTATCATTCATGGCCCTTCATGAGGATTGAGCTATATGGATGCTAAATAGTTTTCTTCACGGTTCCCTGCGCCATCTTGATTAAAGGTAGCCGTGCCTTTATACATCCAAACGAGACAACGGTTTAGCGTGCATGATAGATACCTGCGAATAATTATCTGT